GAACCAATCATTTGTAAATACGAGTCCTGGCTTCAGACATTGACAAGGGTTTTTTTTGATGATATTCATGAGTACGGAGAAGAAGCAGTTACCAACCTCAAATTATTGCCCTGGTTGTCCGAAAAGCTGGCAAGCTTGAAAACATTTATTTTAAAAGCTGTCGTGCGAAAAATGGTTTTTTGACCGCAAACAAAACAGTTCGGAGCCACTTTCTCTTCTTTAATGCTGATGGTTATTACGCGCTATTTGAATGAATTTTAAAATACAATAAGTGATCAAATCGCAATCGATATTACGGCAAAGCTCCGTGTCTTGTCTTCAGCTTCATTGTTCCAAAAAGAAAAAAAAATGACCCATTTGCCACATCCCTGTCGATTCTTCTCATACAAATTTCAGAGCTTCCGCACCATTATAAACGATTCTCGGAATAAAAAACGAACAATTTAAAGTTACAATAATTATCCCATTATAAATTAGTTAAAGGTAGTTTGCGGAGCGGTCATTATTAATATGAGATTTCTTTTATAATGCAGTTATTATTACATCATGCCGGGTTGAGAAGGTATCTATATAATTGCTACTTTATGTTGCAAGTAATCATCATCAAACATGTTGACATTGATTTTAGATTCCCGGAAAGTTTTTAGAAAAAAAAAAGTTATCAACCAATACTATCTCCGTTATTAACAAGACATATAATAAAATCATAAAGTTATATTATTGATCTTGGGTTCACTTCGATGCACAGGTGCACTTAAGCTGTTCTTTAAAGCCTTTATTTGCTCCTCTTAAACGGTATTGGACATCTTTAAGAAACCGCTTGGTCATTTACAACAGTCTGGTTTGGAGGAATCAAGTGCTTTAAATACAGGATTATAAGTCCAAGTTAAAAATCGTCTTTGGATTTTCTCAAATACAGTCAGCAAAATAAACCCGACAAAGTATTTCACGATCTCGAGATAAAAGTCGGCAAAAAGTCAGAGCAAAATTACCTATATATAAAGTCCGTGAGTACACAGGCAGCTAGTCCGAAGCAGCGCCCAAACAATTCCCATGATATCGTAAACATGATCTCGTACGGTATGATTCCTATTATGGTGCAAACGGGACGACATAACAGACCCAAAGAAGAAGAAGAAGTTGAAAGTCACTGACCCTGATGCCACAAACTGATGGAAGATTGGCAAAATCTCACTCGATCGTAGCATCAAAAACAATAATTTCAAAATATATTACATCTGCATACCATCCACGCACTTCCATACATATCAATTTGAAAAAGAATATCGCGATTTCCTATTACCGAGAACTTGCTAGCCTTATATGACTTTTATATTGTATGCAAATCCAAAAAGCAATATAACAACAGGCCAAAAATCCATTTTGCAATTTAGAATAAACAACGAAGGCATAAATTCTATTTTGTAATTCAGTTTCAATTTGATGTTGGTGTGTTTGGTATGTATAAACTATTCTTGAAGTATAGTCTAGTCGGGATATTATAGAATAAGCTTCAGACTATTAAGGAATAAGCTGCTCGAGGTTTCAAAGGTTTCGCTTTTTTTAAGAGATACTGAAATATTATAGTGTTTTTCTTTCACCGATAAAATATGTGATTTCAATTATTCATTTGCGAGGGATTGAAAATAAATTTCAGTTAGGAAAATACAAGACTTTCTACTGCCCGAACTGCTCGGACGTCTTATACCTTTTTGTGAAATTTATTCGCCTTTTCCCGTAAAAATGTTTTAAAAAAAATGTAGGTAATCTATGGAACACGTCACTTACAGGAGAGAGAAAATGATGGTACTTTTTCTCGATTCTCAAGTCATTTTTATAACTCTACTCTTTAAACAAAATCACGAGATGCCAAGCAAGTGATTTTTGTGTAAAGTGTGCCCAATTGCTAAAAAGTAACAGAATTGAATTGAAAAATTGAGTGGTAGGTACTCCACAAGACTATTTTATATTCATAAAGAAATTAGGTACTGTAATAATTATTCTAAAAAACTACCTACTTTTGCAGCATAATTCTTCACCTTATTTGTATACTGTTATTCGGCTAGCCCATTAGTTTTTGTTAATATTCTCTGCTCTCAACCAATCTCCTTCTGAGATTTAGCACTGCTGTTGATTTCCCGTGAAGTTTTTGATTGAGGTTAATATGTTAATATCTTTTGAAAATCTAATTTCCTGAGTTGCGTGAACTATTAGGGATTTGGACCTTGCGACTTGCAACTTGCGACTTGTACAGCGTACGTCGTTCTGGTTCCTGTTCTTGCGGGTAAAGCCTCACCAATATCAGTATTCTAGTAATTAGTGTGTTTTGAAGGCCTAGGTGAGTCGGGAAATTTATATTTAAAAATAAAAGCGGGAATATTCATAGGTTGCTTGAATTTTTGCATTTGCTTTTTCTGATGGCTATATAAACCAATTCTGGAGTCGCGCACATTCTGCCACAATCTTTGCACACCCGTTCCCTGGCTGCATTGTCTCTTCCTAGGTCTGTATGACTTTATAATATGTAATGATCTGTTCATGTGCAATACCGGCACAATACCAACTTTCTTGAACTCTCGTAGTCAAACTGTAATAGATATAACACTATGCTCAGTATTAATATCAAATTCAATCGATAATTGGCGCGTATCTGATGAAGTTTGTATGTCGGATCACCGATGGATAACTTTCACATTAAACTGCTCGCCTAAAACCACAAGACCAATACTGCACAGAACGTGCAAGTTCTGGAAAGGGATCTACGAGAGATTGCAGTTAAAACACCCAATGATGACCAAGAATTGGAGCGGTATGCCCAATATCATCCAAGGTGCCATCATAAAATCATGTATGTCGAGCCCACTGAGGATGTTCCAAAACTCTGGTAACGCTTCTGCTTGGTGATGTCAGGAACTGGAACACCTCAGGGCGACGATAAGAAAAGCTAAAAACACCAAACTACCTGAGGATTGGAACCTCTACAGGGTGTCCGTTTCAAGAGATACCACTATTGCTATCTCCGAAACGGTAAGAGCTACGAGGTCGGTTAAATTAGACAAAAGTGACAGATTTTAGTGTCCATCAAAGATAAGTTTACAGGGTTGCCAATTTTTTTGTTCATTTCCGAGATATGAAGTAAAATGTCTAAAATGCCTAAAACTTATTGAATCAATATTTCAAAATTTACCAACTTTAGAAAAAAGTTTTCGATATAAAAGTTTCAAGTTTTCGTCTTCTCTACAAAACGGCGTAATTATTATCTTCACACGGCTTTTAGTTTTTGAAATATCAGTACTAACTTCATTTTTTTAAATACGATCTTGTATTTTTTATTCTTTTTTTTTTAAATAATTTTTAATTTTTCTCTCCCTTTAAAATGATTTATAACTCAGGCGTGTTTCCCGACGTTTCGGTATGGAATAGCCCATCATCAATACTTTTTCCTTAGTACGGACCTGATGTATTTCACGCCAATCTGAAATACGACATTTCCTGATGGATTAGGTAGGTATATATCTTTTTATTCTTTGTCTAAAATTTATTACTTAATAGCAATACCTATGTCAAATTTATTGAGGAAAACAGATGGAAAAATTTATTCCACACAAATTTTCAATTTAACTTCAATACATTAATAACTACCATTCAAAATAAATATTCAAATTTTCAAGACGTGCAACTGGTAGCATTTTTGTGAGTGTTGGAAATCTTTCCCATATTGTTTCTCAAGCAAAGTCTTTCATTTTTAATCACCCTTATTTGAATGTTTTTGCAGTATTCTGCGAGAAACTTTGCTACATGCTACTCGAATTTTACGTTTGAGATCATCCTCTGTGGCTGATTGGCAACTAACGGATCAGATAATAGGTATACGAGGAAAAAAAAGCTTGGGCAATTTCAGGCTTCTCGACATTCAAAGCACCAGGACCTGACGGCATTCAACCCTACTTCAGTGGAGTCTAAAGCCACTCTTGCCGCACCTGGTAGGGATGTTCAGGGCGTCCTTGGCGCTGAGATACATACCTAAGGATTGAAGAGAATTTAAAGTGGTGTTCATACCCAAACCAGGGAGGATGGAAAAAAACTAATTTTCGCCTCTATAGAGGCAGTTACCTGTATTTATTTTTTATGTTAACTTAAAATCAATATTGTATTGGTTAAGGGTCTAATTTTCCAGATCCAGCTGCGATCTAAAAATAAAAACAAAATGAATTTGGATTTTCGCAAAAAAATAATAATTTCACGGTCAGAAAGTTTACCTCTGGTTTGAGCATTTTGCCATACAAGTCTTGCATGCTGGAGTACATACCAAATTGTATCTTCTACAACAACAGCGCATAGTACCACAATCTGTTTTGCACCCGCATCTATCAAGCTCTCTGAGAGCTAACCAAACTGGCGGAAGTTCAGACCACAATGGAACCAGCCTATTCTCAAATATCTTCCAACCCCATTCCATGGGAGTCGGAGGCTCACAATCGATATTATGGGCTTGGCCCCATATATGGCCAGCTTGGTAAGATGCCCTTTTAATGTGCTCTTTTAGTGCTGAAGAGGACGGAGGAATTGGTGTGACAGGTTTGTCGCCACGACAAAACATCTCTTTCCTTGCTTTATCAACACTGGTAGTGCATGATTGATGATCATACATTTTAACTGTGAATTCTTCATTTCAGAGAGTTGTTCCTCAAGAGGCAAAGGCTGTCCCAGCTTTGAAATGCGGCAGTAATATGATCCCCTGTTCAGGCTCTTTGCGCGCTTTTTTTCCCTTTAGAAGTAAAAAAAGAAACTGAGTCACATCCTGTGGAGGCGTGAAATCCACGAAAAGCTGCAGCCTTTTCTACTCCTAAAGCATTCGCTATATTGTGAACCGCTATGTATCTTCGCTTGGATCCAACACCAAACTGAATCCACAGTTCTTTTAGACCATAAGTTGACAGCGAATGTTAAAATGACACAGCAATAACTAATACATCAGTATCTGAACAGCGAACAGTAACCTAGGAGACACCGAAATTACCCATATCTTGAATGTGTAAAATTATTCTACCATCGGCTTCTTCCATGTTCTTGCAACTCCTATTGCTAGGATTGGTCTGTTCACAATTAACTTGAATCACTGCCTTTACGTTAGTAACAAGTTGAACTTCATGTATAACTTCTAGAAGGGTTATAGCAAGATATTCGAATAGTTCTTCTTTATTTTGTGGGTTTTTCAAATATTCTTCCCATTTTTTTGGAATTAAACCTAAAAAAAAAAAAGAAAATATTTCAAGTCAATCAAATTCTAATATGTATATGGAAAAATACTCACCTTTTCTTGGAAGATCTTTCTGCCTCCCTCTCAAACCTCGTCGTTCCCTTGTCGAACTTTTGAGACTTAGTTTTGAATATAGATCCCAAACTATATCGACTCTTTTTGCTCCTAAATGTTGTGCTATTGTAAGAATATGTGGTTTTAATTGCTGTGTGCAATATTCGTAAATATTCTTTACGTTTTCGTGTGGCTTAAGAAAATGTACAACAGCAGCACCATCAAATATAACGGCATCAGTTTGTGATGGAATCTGGGTTTGGTTTGATAATTTCTCAAGGATTCTGGCAAGATCAGCTTTATTTCCTGGTTTTATATCTCCATTTGGTGAAAGCGACGGAGGGCAAACTTGATTCTCGTATCGAAAAAACTGTAGCAAGTCTAGGTTCCGTGCAGTACTTATAATGAAGAGTCGAGTCGTGAAATTAGCTGTAGATCTGTTTTTAAATTAGCCTCTGCAGACCTTTGTTGCGATTTCTTCAATTTTAGCGAAAATATTTTTACATTTTCTTTTTTTATCACATCATGAATACTTTTTGTATTAGATTGGATTCTATCTCGCACAAACTCTTCCATTGCCAAACGGCCTCTTTTTTGCAAGGAATTTAAACACTCTACTCCCTGCCGCGGGACAACTTCCTGACTGTCAATTGTAAGCAGTTCTTCTCCATCGACAAGAAAAGGGTTCTGATGCTGTAAAAAGCTTTCTTCAAGAGCAACACAGTTTAGGCTAAACATTCGCTGGAAACCATCATATTGTTCATGATGCCTCAGCTCTTAGTCAAGATCCCGATCACCTTCAAACTCACTGATCAGCCTGGCTACTTCTGGTCCAGCAATAGTAAATCGTCGAAGCGAAGAAGGATCTTCTGTCAATCCAATAGCACCTCCTCTGCCTTTCAAATGAGCGTTGTTTTGCTCGTGAGCGTGATCTATACCTAACGCAGAAGAAGGCCTTGCTGTTTTTCTTACTACAAAGTTGCCTGAAATGTAAAAAAATGCAAAGTTGAAAACATTTGACATTGAATAATTAATTCTCAACTTTACCAGCAATAAATTGGTTATAAACATCGGGTGCCTTTTTTGGTAGCTCTTCTAAGTCTCGAAGATGTATTTTCAACCATCTTGCATAATTTGGATGATCAAGATCAAATATAAAAATAATGGTAGCATATCCCTCAAGCAACTCTTATAGAGAATAAAATCCCCCTGTCTAACTGATCTGACAAAATTGAGCAACAATATTTGTAAATTTAAAACAAGAATCCAGTACTTGAAAGTAGGAGAAGATTTGATTTTTTTATCAATCCATGTTGACATCAAAACACCTTTATCTGGATTCTCCAAATCCTAGACCTCTTGTAACAGTATGTAGAATGAGCCAGCAGTTCGCTGATGCATTACCTATTCTTGCTTTTTTTATATGGGCTACCTGCAAAAGACGCTGTATTATATATTATTCATTTCCTCGTTAATCTAACAAGGTGATGGTACCTTAAGTAACGCTTCAGCTGAGCTAGCTGATCTAACACCGGAGTTAGCGACTATGTTTACCCTCAAGGAACTGTCCCAATATTCGAAGAAAAGTTTGTTCAATGTGAAGAGGGCCCATCATCGCTACAAACTGGCTCTCTCCAAATTCCAATGGCCATTGAATTATTTTGCAAATGGTAAAAAGTGGCTGGTCAAAACAAATGACAGGTGTTTGAGATTCATTAAGAGATTTTCCTACATTCCGCACTAACGTCGTACCGTGTTTAATCATGGAAAGTTTTGTTGATTTTTCGTGGAATAATGGAAGTAAAACATTTATTGCGATAGGATTGTGAGTGGTGTCTCTCTCTGCGTAATATGCAGCCCAAGATACGTTAGGTGATGAAGTTTCAGGTTCAGTTTCCAACCATCCCTCTTCGTTTCTATACCAATTATTGTCGAGCCCTAATCACATAAATACATTTAGATACAGGAAACAATAAAATTACAATTTCACCTTTAGGAGTCATGGAATCTGTTAGTTCTGGTTCAGAAAGATGAGTTTCAGCTTTAGTTGCAGAAAGTACGCATTCAGTGAGTATAGAATAGAAGTCAGGCAGGGAAGGGACAGATCGATCTCCTTTTTTCTGTACAGTTTCGTAATGAATGCTAAAAGTCTGGTCAACTCCACATTCCCCCTTATTTGGTAGTTGAAACAGAGATATTCCGGTACCATGAAATCCAGATCCTCTACTCGTGCTGCTGCTCGGATTATACACGATGTTATCCAGAGCGGAAACGGTAAAAATGCCGTTTTTCAAATTTGATGGACAAACAGCGCCCTTCTCATTGGCTTGCTAAACAACCATTCGGCATAATTGAGCAGTGACTTCCATGACTCTGTTTGAAGATACACTTAGTCCTTTATCGTGTAATTTATCAATAGTAGCTTTATCTCTATTTTGACCATAGGTTGATAGTCCTACATATAGAGGTAATGGTGGTTCACAATCGGTATTGTTACGAACAATGTTTCCTTTTGGCGTGGACTCTTTAAAATTGAACATAATCATTTGGCAAATTGAAATCACAGGCTGAGTAGCACGGCAGTTATTACGAATAGGAGAACCGTAGCACAGTGAATTTATGGTAGCGAGCAATATTGAAGGAATTGATGATTCTTCACACCCATTTGTAAAGGTTCCAGAAAATGTTGAAGAAGTAGCAGTCATAGTTTGGCGTAAACGCTTTGCAAAATAATGAAATGCCAGCACGTCTTCATCTTGATCTTCTGTATCACAGATGCTAATAAATGGCACCAGGATGAAGTAGCAAATAATCTCGACCAGATTTTTGAGGTTTAAGATCTGGAAAATGGCTTAAAATTTTTTCACGTAATCTATAGTGCTGTCTTCGCGTAAATCATCCTCTCATATTCTAAGTAGTTGAGCAAGCCGAGTCTCATACATTTTACATAAATGTGCCATTTTGAAAACAAATTGTGATATTCATTCAATCTATTTTGTATATAAAACATGTTAGCAAATACAACGCCCTTACACATAATCCGATCATTATCTTGGTTTGTAATGACTGATTGACGTCTACATTTATTATATAATCGGGTCAGGCAAGTCGTATAATACTTGGCTTCCTTCGCCAAAAGATCTCCTCCTTCCAACAACGCCAATAATTTGGAATCTTTTAAAAATTCTATACATCGCTTTATATTATTGTAAACACCATCTGTTTGACATAAATGAAGAGAAGATTTCCGTGAACCTGGCTCACCACAAAGAAAACATTCTTCTTCCATAAGATTAATCATTGGTGCCTTACTTTTTGTGCTCCTTTTTTCAGAAGAACTAGCTTCAGGTTGCTCGATTTCTGCCGAAGTATGGCTTAAAGCTAAATCATTTAAAACTTTTTTGAACTTGTCACCAACATATTTAACGGAACAGGATTTGTGCCATTTGGCTTTATTTGTTTGGAAGGTTGCTCCTATACCATCACCTTCATCTAATATATCGGTACCCAGCATCCAATCTATATTTGTAAGGCCGTAGCTGTTGTAAATTACTAGCTAAAGACTTGTAGCTTGAACTCCGAGTTGAGACAATTGGATTGTTCGCAGAGCACATTAATTTACCTGATTTTTTTTGACAAAAACAGCATGCGTCCCAAATATTGAGGTGTATCGCTAGCACTACTTTGAAAAAACCACCTTTCAAAAAATTAGCAACTCGCTAGCAGAAATGAATTCTTCGGAAACTGTTACCGGGTGGATATTCAATATGCTTTCCAAAAGAATTGTACAGATAAGTGTGCAGGACGTCAACATTAAAGAAATGGTCACAAGAGGCTGCCAGCAGGGAGGCGTGCTATCACCTCTCCTGTGGAACATGGTTCTGGACAGCCTCATTGTCCGCCTAAACAATGACTACCACTACACAATAGCTTACGCAGATGACGTAGTCGTCTTGCATAGTCGAATATGGAATCACGGTAAAAAATGTAGTAACTTCATTACAATATCGGTTGTGGACATTTTAGGGTCGTCTTCAAGATATCTATGTGCTCCCACTAAGTCACTTCACATTTCTGAAACGTTTAGATACTTTTTTTTCATAGAGGTAAATTCGAGAACTCGCTTTGCGAACGCATGCAACATGCTCTTCGAATTATATAGAAAGATGGTGCACGGAATACACTCTATACATCAATCCCAAAAAGACTGAAATGACCTATTTACAAGAAAGAGGAAACTGATACTTCCGACAGCACCCAGACTCTTGAACACCGAACTAAGTTTTGCCGCCGAGATCAAATATCTGGGAGTGACACTCGATTGCAAACTAACATGGAACCCTCATATTGCTAAGAGAATACAAAAAGCATATATCGCCTATGAACAGTGTAGACATACTATCGGTAAGACATATGGGTTTTCCCCCAAGGTAGTTATGTGGATCTATACAACCATGATTAAGCCTATGCTCACCTATGGGGCTATTGTCTGGGGAAATAAAGCCGAATAGACCGAAGCCGAAAACTATAACACGTTCAAAGAATGACATGCCTCAACATAACTGGTGCAATGAAAACCACACCAACTAGGGCTTTGGAAGTAATTTTATTTTTGACGGCCCTGGATACTTATGTCAAGGAGGTCGTTTTAACCACAGTGATGCGCTTCCGCACTATTGGAATAGAACCAAGTGCAGTGCAGAAGTCAGTTTGCAGAGATCCCGCATATGGCGTGAGGCAACGAACTCGCTTCCATTGTTGGAGGCCAGAGTGTACTCTGCAACACTATGTTTCGTCTCCAAAAAGCAATCAACACGAAAGGCATTGGAAACAACACAGTGGCCGGGGTAAGTAACATCTACACTGATGGTTCCAAAACTCAAACAGGCTCGGGATGCGCAGTACCTATACTCCAAAAGCTCTCTAACTGAACCTAGCTATAGCCCTTGGCTCCGTGCCTAATGTCCTCCAAACGGAAATTACTGGCATGATCAAACTGGCGGTCGAACAAACAGCCAGCAACAATATCACTGACAAGATCGTGCACATCCACACATGGACTGCAGACAAGCAGCACTAGCGCTATCTAGACCGCGACTCACGTCAGAACTTGTACAACATTGCCACCATACACTCACCGAAGCGTCGATCAACAACACGGTGGTAGTCAGCTGGATCAAAGGACATGATCACAGCAAAGGCAATCAGGCTGCCAATACTCCACTCTAGCTAGAAGGGTCGCCAGGCTACGTGATCGAAGCCCTTCGTAGGGCTGACCATGTCGGCGGCCAGAGATATGATGAAAAAACGCTCCCATAACCTTTTCAAAAAGCGCTTGGACGATACAATTCGCTGCAACTTATCCAAGAAACTGCTAAGCTACCCATATATAGTTGCAGCGAGCAAGAAGCTGTCGTTGAGCAAGAAAAGGCTACGCCTAATAATGGGCATCTTGACTGGCCACTGTCAGTTAAACAAACATTTGTTTAGGTTGCATCTCAGTACCACATCCTTGTGTAGGGTTTGTAATCAAGAAGACGAGACGATAAAGTACATTCTTGGTGACTGCACTACTCTTTCGCCAATACGCAGAGTCAGATTAGGCCAATCGTACCCATCGCTGGAAGAGATCAGAGGCACCGCCCTCGGTGACGTCATCGCCTACGTGGAATCGCTAGGCTGGATGACGAGCTAAGGATGACCTTTCCTCTTGTGGAGGCGCACAATGGGCCTAAGTGCTGTGGCATACCATACCACCCTCTCAAACTTACAGATACAGATACAGATAGATTATCTTGCTCCTTCTTGCGGTACCTCTTTTTTATTTTCGGTCTTGTGTCTGCATCGCTCTTGTTCAAATGTTTGTGGTCTGTCTTGGACTACTACATCTCCCAGTTATGTTGGTATCGATGCGGCACTTTGCCATATTTTCCTCAAGAACATCTTCATAGCGTTTTTGTTGACCTGCTTGATTTCGTTTTCTCTCTTTCTGTTAACTGTAGAAAATCTGTCGTGGGAGACGTGTTTCGGGCATGCGGACTAAGTGACCTGTCCATCGAAAATGGTGCTTATTGATAAGGGGTTCTATGCTAGTTGTTTTGGCCTCCTCTAAAACACTAATGTTCGTTCGTCGGTCTTGCAATTTAATCCGTAGGATCCTTCTTACGCATCGATATGGTGTTATTTTTCTAGGCTTTTTATGTGTCTTTTGTAGGTGACCCATGTCTCGCAGCCATATGTAAGTGTTGGTATTACCACTGCGTTGTGGACGCGAAGCCAGTTCATGGTATTCCTTCAGAGTGACTTTTAACTCATATCAATTTCTCATGCCCTTCGGCACTGTCTATAATTTCCTCAGTCGATTCATGGTGTGGGGTGACTGCAAAGGAAACGGAGTTTGCTGTAACAGCCGTTTCATTCTTCTCAACAATTTGATCTGTTACGTTGATGAAAAGCCTGAAATTATCGAGAGTAGACCTGTATCTCCTGGAATTCAATTTTCTTTGGTCCAATCTCACTCATTCTTTATATTCATGCATGGATGAAATTGAATTCATTTTGTCCCAATCTTGTTTATGGCTTTCTATTATTACTAAGCTCCTTGGTGCAGTTTCACTAGTTTCAGTAGTTCTTTGTCCATTTCTGGCACATTTTTTAAAATCAATTTTGCTTTTTTCTCGATTCGATTTCCATAAATATAACCGTGGATAAAATAAAAATACAAAATTCCGATTTGTACTCCAATTCGATTTTCTCTTTAACGAAGTGAGAAGAAAATATTCCGTGAAATGTCTAATAAATTGTTTTGCCATTTTCCACGCCACGCTGGTATGTAGTATAGATAAAAATACAATTTGTTAGATTTCACGTTGTGTGCCAATTCCAATTTCTTTCCTTAAGGGGAGTTTAACCTAATACAAATAGGGCGCAGTTGAACAGGAGGTATTTGGAAACTTTCCAGTATTTCTATTTCAAATGCAACCCATCACTATAAAGTTTGAACCCAACCTTTATTTAAGAGTGTTGACTTATGACACTGCGCGGGGCTTTCAATAACTATTCTTCAAATATTGGCGCGTTCATTGCGTGTCAAAAGTGCAATTTTCAGTAGTTATTTATGATACTTGTGTGTTTTGCTGAATTTAAATTACGCATGAAAAGTATGTCCCGCGAGAACGTCTTATTAAGTAGAATAATTTTTTAAGTACCTTAGGGCCAAATTATGGACTGACTGGTAAACGTCTGGTTGTTACCTAGCAGGTACTTTCTATGCACTAGAGAATAGAAAGTACCTGCTAGGTAACAACCAGAGACTTACCAGTTGGTCCATAATTTGGCCCTTAGAAAACATAACACACGAGTAGCCTATAGTGCTTAATGGGGACACCCTATAATTTTACCTACGATCAATAACTTAAAATAAATAATGATAATTTTTTGACAGTTCTAAAAGCCAGTTAAATATTTTTATTTATTGTCATGTGATGCGAATCATTCAATCATGTTAAAATTATACTGAAAACAGTCATATAGGTTTTGGTTTTCACTCTTTGACATTGCCTAGGACATTGCTGTCAAAAAAATTTCTATCCGAATAATCCTCGAACATTGATAAATGCTCAAAAATTTTATAACAACTTTCTCAAGCTTCTGGTTTATAGAAAACAGACCTCCGCTAACGCGTCGAAATCTGTTATAATGTTTTTTTGAACAATTATCAATGTCCTTGGGCTATTACTACTAAAAATTGCACTATAGTACGTACTTTTAATACCTATTTAGAAGTACCAGTCGTTCTAGTGATAAAACGTCTGCCGTTTCTTGAACACACAAATAAAATTAGGTTAGGAATTGCCTATTTGCACATGAAATTGAAGTATTAGCAATCGACGTTCGTTTTTGTTGGTAATTTTTTATTTCATCCGATTCGTGATTGATAAATAAGGATGGGGTTATTCTAAATGGGTATTGAAAACCCTATATCGGTTATCCATTTTTGTTCAATTTTACTCCACAGCATACGTAATGGTATAGAGATTCCGAACCCAGACTTAGACTGAGACCTAAAACTCTCCTCTAGACCAAGACCGACACCTTAAAATGTCTTCGATACCGAGACCAAGAGCAAGACTTGACTTCCGGGACCAATACCGTGACGGAGACTATCGCTTTAGAGTCTCGGACTCGAAAAAAACATGATACCTATAAATCGACTTCACTTTATGATCAATGAAGAACTTCTAACAAATTATATTATATATTATTTGAACATAACTTTGTTCTAAACTCGATACAAGGATACAAAATAACGGAAATGAGAATGTATTTCTGACTAAGTTATTTACGTTAATAAGGGGACCTTCATTTTTTCTTGAATTATTTTATGCCCTGATTATAAAATTTGAGGGTTGACATTATTATATTATATTAAGGGGTTGCCCGAAAGGGGGCAATACGGCAATATATATTTTTATCCCATTTTGACGTTTAAAAGTTACATTATTGAACGCATTA